AGCTGGAGCCCAGGAGGCGAGGCTGTGGTGGCCGGAAGTGGCCACTGCACTCCAGTCTGGGTGACCGAGTGAGACTCCAACTCAAAAAAAAAGTATTACGAGGTTTAGAGTTAAAACCATAAAGTCATTACTACATTTAGAAAGATTTTTTGATTAGTAAAAAAGTGACTAATAATGTAACTTTGAAAACAATACAAAGTCTTGTTCATCCTTGTCAGTCAAAAGAAAAATATAAGTGAAAAAATGTCTTTTTTTAGTCATAAAGTATATTAAATAAATAGTTATATTGCTATATAATTTTTGTGGGTTTTTTTGAGCTAGAATCTCACTCCATTGCCCAGGCTGGAGTGCAGTGGCATGCTTATGGTCACCTCACTGTCGACCTGCTGGGCTTAGGCAACCCTTCCGCCTCAGCTTTCCAAGTGACTGGAACTATAGGCATGCGCACCACACCTGGCTAATTTTTTGATTTATTGTAGAGACAAGGTCTCACCATGTTGCCCAGGCTGGTCTCGAACCCATGGGCTCATAATAAAGTTATATTGCTAGACAAACAATGGACCTGAAGTGGTTTTTATTGCCAATTTGATATGTTTTAAGTTCTGGAATTTTTAGCTATCCAGCAACAGTGAGGCTCCAGCTCAAAAAAACAAATAAGTGTATCTTCATGTTTCACAGTTTTGTAATCTTAGTTCATATTTAATCACCACCCCAGGTGTAAACTATTTGCTTAAAGGGTATGAGATTGAGTACTGCAGATAAATTTTACTTCATAAACCGTGTGTTGTTCACAGAAAACCCAGTATGCATCCTGGAGTCACCTTCAAAAGCTGTTTTAAGCTCAAAAGAAGCAACCCCAGTGGCACAAAATGAAGTTCAGGTACTGATATGAAGTGCTCTGTAAGGGACATTCATTCCAAATTGAATGGAAATTACCTGTTTACTCCTGAAAAAATGTGCTCTTAAAAATGTGCTATTGTGAATCTACTTATTTACACAAAATTATTCAGTTGAATTTTACAGAAGGTACAGAAATTAAAACAAATACTTTTTTTCACCCAACAGATTGGAAAAGTTTTTTTTGTTTGTTTGTTTTTAGTCAAGGGTCTCATTCTGATACCCAGGCTGGAATGCAGAGGCATAATCATGGCTATCGTGACCTCAAGCTACTGGGCTCAGGCAATCCTTCTGCATCAGTCTCCTGTGTGTGCCACCATGCCTGGATGATTTTTTTATTTGTTATAGAGACATGGTCTTACCATGTTGCCCAGGCTGGTCTCGAACTCCTGGGCTCAGGTCGTTCTCTTGTGTCAGCCTTCCAAGGTGTTGAGATTATAGGCATGAGCCACCCTTCCTGGCCTAGTTTTTGTTTTAAAAGCAATAGGCAGCTGGGCTTGGTGGCTCAGCCTGTAATCCCGTGCCTTTGGAAGACTGAGGTGAGTAGATTGCCTGAGCCCGCGGGTTCGAGACTCTCCTGGGCAACTTGGTGCGACCTCATCCCTACAATAAATCAAAACATTAACCAGACGTGGTAGCGCGCACCTGTAGTTCCAGCTACTCGGAAGGCTGAGGTGGAAGGATCACCGGAGCCCAGCAGGTCGAGGCTTCGGTGGCCGGGAGTGGCCACTGCACTCCAGTCTGGGTGACAGAGTGAGACTCCAACTCAAAAAAAAAAAGCAATAGGCATTGTTGATGAGGATGGAGGAAATGGGTGCTCTCATACACTGATAGTTTTCGTGTAAATTAGTACAGTGTTTGAGAACAGAATTTCAAAATGAGATGGAACACTGATTCAGAATGTCTGAAACCTAACCCATTGTGCATCACTGCAAAAATCTTAACTCCATTAAGAGGTTTATGCTTAAAAGACCGGAATGGGAAATATATATTTGTACAACTGCAGTTGACCACTGTAAATAATACTCCTCACCAAACCAGGTTGCTAAACTTTCTGTACAAATGTATTTCTAGGTTCTTGAGTCCTTGGATGACCTGCCACCTCTCCCAGAACCACCATCACCACTACCTGAACTGGCAGACAAAGTTCGAGACACACTTCCTCCCCAGAAGCCTGAGCTCAAGGTGAAACGGGTTATGAGACCCAGGGGCATTGCCCTGACTTGGAACATCACCAAAATCAATCCTAAGTGTGCGCCTGTGGAAAGCTACCACATCTTCCTGTGTCATGAGAACTCTGATAATAAGTTGATTTGGAGAAAAATTGGAGAAATTAAAGCTTTACCACTCCCAATGGCCTGTACTTTATCTCAGTTTTTAACATCCAACAGATACTATTTTACTATCCAATCAAAAGATATTTTTGGGCGATATGGACCATTTTGTGATATAAAAGGTATCCCTGGGTTTTCTGATGATCTTTCCTAAAAGAGTATTTTCAATAATTATATATTACACTACATGTCATTTTGTTTTTTCATATTTGAGTTGTTTGTTTGCAATGTTACTTGAACACTACTTGCCGTTCAAAAGTTCAGATTGTGAACCCTTTATATAGGGACAGTTCTCTTTCATATGTTGTAAGTGGCCAGTAATTTCATGAATTTCTGATTTGTATTAAATATTTAAGTCCAATGGATATGTTCTAAAACATAAACTATCATGGGTCTGTGTTGCTTAAGTGTGTTACGAACAATACCTTTGGTGACTATGGAACTTCTGCGTATATCCGAAGCCCTTGGATACAAACAGCCACTGCTTTGTCTGCTGACAATCAGCTTTTGCTGCCCTACTTGTGATCAGTTTAGCTATAGGAAAAATCAGCTCTTTCCTGAGGCCAGACCATCCCTGGGATGCATCTCCACCAAGATTTTATGAAAATAAATGACTTCTATTCAGATTCTGAGTGGGCTATTAATTTATGCCCCTCCTTTTTTTGTTGTTATGTCAATCATTTGGGGAAATAGTCTGGAGGTTTCCCTTAATCTGTTTGTAGACTTAGATGTAATAAAATTTGCTAAACATTGTGTGCCATGTACATAAAAACATACAGTTTCTTTTGTAAAAGCATCACCCAACCTCGTATTTCAGTTGCCTTAGATTTAAGGCTTTAATTTGCTGATTCCCTGAATAGCTACCCTTTGCTCATTTCCTGGCTGCCATCAGTACTCTGAGAACATAACACTAAGGGGCTGTAATGGATGTGTCTTGTGCCAACCTCTATCTGAGGGAACATCGTCCTCGCTACAAGCAGCCCAGGAGCATGTGAACAGAGCATGATCAGAAGTCAGGGCCCAGTGGAGGCAAACTTTGGATAATTAATACTGGGATGTTGAGAAACCGAAAAATAACCCTAGCCGTGTGAAAGATTGTCTGAAAGAGGGGCATTTGTTCCTGGTACATAGTGGAAGTTCAGGCCTCAGAAGCTCTGAGATTTAAAAAACGAACAGAGAATCGTTTTCCTTGGCATTTTGTAAATGCCTTCATATCTTCAGTAATAATATTAAATAAATGTTATAAGACATTGCAACTGAAAGAGCCAGATTCTGAGCTGCCTCTGATGAACTGCCCTTTGTGAGCTCCTGTTTCAGGCCACAGCGCAGAGCAAGGAACTCACCCCAGCGAGGATTTCACCCCGGGACTGCCCTGGACTAGACATTCACTTACTAAGTGAAGCCTGGATACCTGACGCCATGAACAGAATTTTGATGCCCATCACCAAAGTGAAACCACATCCCAACCAGCAAACCCTCTGGAAAGATAGGTGCACAAGTCTCAAGCAAACAAGCCTTCATGAGAGCAAGATGAAGGAGAAGGACTGAGAACAGACAGCTTAGAGATGGTGACTCAAATGTCCTTAGTGTTCCTTGACCTTTGGAGAGTTGGGGCAAGGTCCTCAGCTGTTAACATATCAGCGATTGAGGTGGAAGGATCGCCGGAACCCAGCAGGTCGAGGCTGCGGTGGCTGGGAGCAGCCACTGCACTCCAGTCTGGGCGACAGAGTGAGACTCCAACTCAAACAAAACAAAACAAAAATCAGCGACACCACAACAGAGCCAGCCAGTCCAAGGACAAGAAAGTCCTGAATAGCACAATCACACAGTACAGGGAAACAACACCCCACCCCATGAAATGCTTTCTGTTTGGTTTTTTTTTTTTTTTGG